CCCAGGACTGTCAGGACACCAGGCTCTGGGAGGGGATGGGAGGAATTGGGGTCCCAAGTTAGAAACCAAGGTAGGGATCCAGTTATTGGAAAATGGGGTACAAGTTCAGTGAAAGCCTTAAGCAAGACTGATCAGATGCTATGCAACCTGGTCTGAAAATTTGAAACTCCTTAATTCTCTCTCCCTTGACGAAGAAGAGACCCTTCTGACCCTTCCTGAACTTGAGACAAGGTTAAGCACTGATGTGAGTACTAGAGGGTTACAAAAGTACTATAGGGCTACCTTTTGTTTGTCCAACTCCTTGTTCTTGTCATTGTGATAAAGGATGGAACAGACTTCCAGATCATGGAGATGCACTAAGTGTGTTTGACCTTCCACTTTAAGTCACATTCTTTTGCTTTTATCTTGACCTTAGATGTTGAACTAAGCTTAATAATTTTCTATGGGAGAGTCCTTCAGACCCAACACGCAGGAACTAAGTTACCCCAGGGAAGTTGCCTAGATATATTGAGTATGTTTGGCAGTATTTGTGCTAATTCTCCAGCCACCCTTTGAGTTTTGCCTTCAATGCATTGCATTCTCTTCTTTAGAGAAGACTAGATTCATACAAATCCCCAAGAGTGGGCTACTGTATTTTCTCCAACCTAAAACGTTTTGGCTCCTTTCACCCTTCTTCAATATTCTAAGTTTTGTTATTTGTTTTATTTTATGAAAGTAGGATATACGGTGTGGTTGTGCACAGCAGCAAATCACAGACCAAACAACATCAGAATATGATGGCCTAAAAAAAGACCAAAATGTTGAGTGTTTTAGGCAATTATAAAACAGAGCAAATGCCTAGCTTTTGGGGTGATTAAACTTAAGCTGAAATGAAAGAATTTGAAAATTTTTAAAAACCATCAGAAGAGTATTTCTTGAGAATGAACCAAGGGATATGGGAGGACCCATTCTTACTCATTTTTGAAGCAGACTCTGGCCTTAAACATGGTATTAAAATGTCTCGGTAAAGTTATTGAATGTATAAGGCAGGAGAGGCCCAGTTCATGCCGTGGGCTCCTGATGGAGGGAGCCCCCCGTAGCTGGGTTTTCAAATGTTCAGGGTGTTTAAGGGTAGAAACAGATCTTGCACTTCAGGCTGCCCATCAATTTCCAAGGAGCAGAGATTCTCCTACTCATATGACCCTCCCCCACCCCCCAACACACAAACATCACTTTTTAAGCCAATATCTGAGTGCCTACTTTGTGCCAGACACTGCTCTAAGAACCTTATAACAACAACACTTAACCCTCTCTACAAACCTGGGAGGTGGATACATCTTATAGATGGTGACAACAAAGTTAATTTGTCTAAGGTCCCATAGAGAAACATGCCACTGAGCTGGGAATCAATTCCAGACACTCTGGCTCCAGGACAGAGTGCTTAGCTGCATTTAAAATTCTTTCCATTTAAAAAAAAAAAAAAAGGAGGGGGCTATAGAAAAGGGTCAGAGACAGCTAGACAAAACAGAGCAGAGGCTAGGAAAAGTTAGGCAAAGAGGGGAATGCTTGTCCCCTAATGCAGCCCTCCTTTGGCAAATGGGGAGCATTGAGAACCCACCCTTCCAACCCCCGACTCCCAATTCCCTTCTTTTTTCCACATCGCATTAACCACCTTTTAACCATACAATATACTTGTTTACTTTGCTTGTGAATGCTGTCTCCCCCACTAAGACGTAAGCAGATAAGGGCATGCATCTTTTTCTGTTCTGTACCTAAGACAGCTCAAGTGTCTAGAATGGTGCCTGGCTCATGGTAGGCCCTCTATAAAATTAATATAATACCTGCTACCCACCCCCTCAATGAGATATCCAGGAAGAGTACAATCTCCAAATTTATAACACTTCAAAATTGTGTTTCCTAAATGGGTAAAATACTAAGAGTTAAGGATGACCCCTAAGGAGGTAACCGAGTGTGATGTTATAACAATATACTGCTATTTTTAACATCCAAGGAATTGCTCAGTGTTAGAGCTGCCCTGAAACCGAGGTGACACCCTTCTTGCCAGGGGGATTATCATGTAAGACAAATAAGATTAGACAAAAAGGCACCACAGGAACAAGACAGCAGGAAGTGGGAAGAGGGAGGTTATGGGTTTCAATTTTCTTTTTCTTCCCAGGCTTATTGTTTCACTCTTTCCCCCTGCTTTCCTCCTTCCTTTTTTTTTTTTTAATACCCCTTTTGATCCATTTTGTTAAATCATGTAGACACTTCATCCTAGTGAAGTCTTTAATTACATAATTTTAGAAGGTTGTTCCAGATTAGTTAAGCCACCCTGTGGTTAAGTGAGTCATCTTCCATGTATGCTGAATAAGGGAAACCTGACCTTGATGATATCAGAGGATGTGAGGTAACCCCACGGAGCCCAGGCTCTCAGTCCTGCAAGAGGCCCTGCTCTACACCGCTGCCCCACTCCAGGCTCCTCCTGTTGTTTGCCTGATTCGGGACCCTCCCTGCCAGGCGAGGTCTCCACCTTTTCACCTGGCCCTACCCACAGATGGGACTGACATGGAAGCAGGGAATTCAGCTATGTGAGGGCTGCTACTGAAGAATGTTTCTTGTGATTCCAAAACCTGCCCTAGGACCTGGGCTAACAATGACACTTGGGATCAGGTGCCTTCAGGACACATGGTGTCTCACACAGGCTTAGCCACTGTCAATGAACGGCTACATGAAGATTCAGAATTGCCCCAAAGTTGAACAGGGAGGGATGGCCTCATGCTATTATTATGAATGATACAAATAGCAAAAAGTAAAGGGAGCTTGTTAGGGGATGAGAATATAATAAGCGCTTTACATCTATAAACTCACATGGACATCAATGCAATCCTCACAACAAGTGCTATTATCCTTACTTTAAGGTGAGGAAAACTGAGGGGTTAGAAACGTGTCCAGGGTCACAGAGCCAGAAAGCAGCAGCATCAGGGCCTGGACGCAGGCTGTCGGCTGCAGAGCCTCTGCTCTCAACCACGACTCAGCTTTGCTCCTCTGCATTAAAAATGCACCCTGATAACATAAAACACCTTCCAAATAGGGTCCTGAGTGCTTTACACGTGCTCTCATTAAATCCCCATAAAACCCCAATGTCGTAATCCTAGTCCAATCCTGAGAGAAGTAGACAAACCTAGACTGTGGGACATTCTACAGGTTATCTGGCCAGATTCCTCCAGACTGTCAGGTCATGGAAAGAAGGGAAGATGGAGAAACTGTCATGGACCAGAGGGAACTGGGGACAAGACAACAAAATGCAACATGGCTTCCTGGATTGGATCCTGGAACACGAAGGGGCCATTAATGGAATAACTGGGGAAATCCAAATGAAGTCTAGAGTTTAATTAATAGTAGTACCAACATTTGTTTGTTAGTTTAGACAGACATACCATGGTAATGTAAGATGTAAATGATGGAGAAAACTGGGCCCAGGATCTAAGGGGAAACTGTACTATCTTGGCAACTTTTCTGTAAATCTAAAATTACTCTAAAATAAAAAGTTCATTAAGGAGATAGCCCTATGAGGTAGGTCCTATGACTATTTTACAGAGAACTCTAGTTTGGAGAGGTTACCTTGCTCATAGTATCACAGCTGTAGGAGGATTCATCCCAATAGGCCCCTAGAATGATTTAAACAGGATTCCCATGTGACTCACTCATAATTTCTTAGAACATTTTTTTGTGGCATCGTATGGACATCATAGCCTGACGATCTGTGAGAGGGACTGGCCCTGGCTATGTCCCATTTCTCTTTTCTTAACCTAATAGTTGTATCTTACATTTATTAAATGCTTACACGTTTTATTTTATTTAATCCTCAAAACAACCCTATAAAGCATTACTCCACTTTATGGACAAGTTAAATAAAGTTTAGGGAGGTTCAAGAACCTGCCCAAGGTCACACAGCAACAACTGGAACTTGAGCTTGAACCTAAGTCTGTCTAACATCAAAGTGTTGGGGTTTGGGGGAAGGGTATAGCTCAGTGGTAGAATGTGTGGTCCTGGTTTCAATCCGCAGTACCTCCATTAAATAAATAAATAAACCTAATTACCTCCCCACCCCCCAAAAAAACCCCAAAACCAAAGTGTCGGCATAACCACTCATAACTACTCACTCTGTCCTGCCTCTATGTTGGCTGCCTTTTTTTTTTTACCTTAACTGTAGCAATAATTAATATTGAATATAGGTAAGAAATATCTGTTACATTGAATGGAAATTTTCTTAGGCCACTTCATGTGAACTATGACCGTCATCAGGAAACTAGTAACATCATACTCTAAGGAACTATTCCCAGCATGTCTTCAAGTTGTATTTGCCATGTTACTAATGGAGCTGAGGGGTTTTTTCACTGCTTTTCTTACGGTAAGAGCCAATACAGCTTTGGTGCAATGAGCTGGAGGCTCTTCTATCCCATGTATCATAAATACTAACCGTCAAAGAAATCAAAGAAAATATACTGTCTTCTTTTGTTAGTGAAATGAGCAGAAAGCATATAATTTTGTTTCCAAGGTCCAGGATGACTTTATAAAATATGCACTTGAAATACAATCTCGTAAGCTTATTAGCCCAGTGTTTTGAGAAGGAAAATTCTTTGTTGTTCCACACCACTTTTTAAACTCATGGCACTCAAAGCCCCTTATACCCTTCAGACATTTTTCCTTCAGCATATTCTCCTTTTAAACACATGTCCCCTCCTCTATTAAATTATTTGTAGGCAAAATGAGCACTATAAAATATAGCTTCTTTTACCTTTCAAATTCTAATTTCTAAGGAAGCTATTGAGAGAACTGTGCTTGTTTTCACATAACAGAAAATTGCTAGGTTGCAGCCGTGCTATTTCTTTGCAGTTGAAGTTAAGGAAGACCTAGCATTTTCTTACTTCAGCCACCAGGTGAGACAAACCACAGTTCTGTTCTAGGTCAAGAGGCAGTAAAGAGAACAAAGCAGTAACCCTTGATCTTTTCCTCCTCAGGTCTGAGAGCTTGTCCCAATGCTGGGCCCACAAAGACATCGTCCATTTGGAGGCTCAGCTGGGGTGCAGGATACAGAAGCTGGTTCTCTTGCCACTAGGTAAGCAGCAAAAGTAAAGGCAGAAATACATCATGAGTTCGCTATAAAACACCAAGCCTTACACCAAAATATTGCAAGTTCTCCTTTCTTTGCAAGAAAGGTTATCTTTCAATTGTTCTGATTGATAATAATACTAGAAACTGCTAACACACATAAAATTCCTACAAATGTGCCAGACATTGCACTGAATGGTTTTTCTCAGGTGGTCTAATTTACTCCCCAGTCAAGTACTACTATCTTCATTTTACAGGTGGAGAAATATAAGACAAAGATCTTGAAACTATGCTCCTTAAAGCTCCTTCAGGCAGAGGCAGCAGGAGCTGGGAATGGACAGGAGCCTGAGAAATGAGAGGCCAGGCTCCAGGACCATCATTCCTAATTTAACCAGAGCATGTGTGCTTTTATCTATTTTGCTTATAGACATGAGTGGAAACTGTCCTTTAAAGAGTTCAAGGTATGATGGTAGGTTTTATGAGCCAGCTTGGCTGAGCTATCGTTATTTAATCAAATACTCATCTACATGTGGCCGTGAAGGTATTTTGTAGATGTGATTAACATCTATAATCAGTTGACCTTAAGTAGATTACCTTCAGTAATGTGAGTGGGCCTCATGCAATCAACTGAAAGGCCTTAAGAGCCAAAACTTTGCTGTGCAGAAGCTTGTAAGTTTCATTAGGTCCCATTTGTTTATTCTTGCTTTTATTCCTATTGCTTGAGTAGACTGTTCTAGGAAACCATAGTAAAACAAAAAGACAACCTATGGAATGGGAAAAAATTTTTGCAAACAAAATCCACAAAGGCTTGATCTCCAGAATATATAAGCAGCTCATACGACTTAATAAGAAAAAACAAACAACCCAATCCAAAAATGGGCAGAAGATATAAACAAGCAATTCTCCAAGGAAGGCATACAAATGATCAATAGGCACATGAAAAAATGCTCAATATCACTCATTATCAGAGAAATGCAAATCAAAACTACAATGAGGTATCAGCTCATACCAGTCAGAATGTCCATCATTCAAAAATCCACAAATGACAAATGCTGGAGAGGCTGTGGAGAAAAGGGAACCCTCCTACACCACTGTGGGAATGCAGTTTGGTGCACCCACTGTGGAAAACTGTATGGAGATTCCTCAAAAAACTAGGAATAGACTTACCATATGACCCAGGAATCCCACTCCTGGGCATATATCCAGAAGGAACCCTACTTCAAAATGATACCTGCACCCCAATGTTCACAACAGTACTATTTACAATAGGCAAGACATGGAAACAGCCTAAATGTC